CCGGTCCTCCTGCCCTCCTGCCCTCCCCTCCATCTCTAGCACATTGACCCGGTGGAGGGCTGGGAGGTGGCCAGTGGGCCGGGACAGGTGCAGAAGGACGTGGTGCACCGGGGCTGTGTCTGCAGTGCCTCGAGAGTGACAGGGGGCCAGTTGACACGCCCTCATGCAGGTAGCCTTAGACATGTCCCTGACACTGACATTGCCCCTTGTGGCCCAGCTCAGCCAGGGGCCCCTGCAGCATGCCACTCAATCCATGAGCTCATTCCTGTCCTACCAGGGGCGGCAGACTGGCTCCGCCCTGGTGTCCTGTTTCGTAGACACTCCAACCATGGCCCAGGATCACCCAGGGGAGCAGGCACCTAAGGCTGGAAAAGCCAGGTGGTCTCTGCTCTGCCCAGGCTGTGTGGCCACCCAGCCCTGGCCCCAGGATCCAGCGCCAGACACGTGCAGGGCCGTGGGCTGCTGAGTGCAGAGGTTTCAGTGGGAGAGGCCTGGCCCGGGCCTCGGAGGCTGCGTCCAGTCTTCCCCAGCTCCCAGGTCTGCTCCGGGGCGGCCGCTCATCAGCAGCAGAGGGCTCTCCTGCTGCCACAGCTCCCCTGCGCCGGTCTCCTCCGTCTCCTTGGCTTTGAGCGGTGTGTCGGGAAGGACCTGGCAGATGTATCCTTTGTGTCTCTTCCCGACACTGCAGATGGGCTGGGGAGATGGCCCCAAACTGAACCGTGGCTTCTTAACTTGGCTTCTTAAAGTGCATCAGGCGGAGAGTTTGACACCTTGAGGAGTCAACGTCAACCTGCCAGTGACAGCAGGGTGACCTTGGACAAGTCACATGGCTTCTCCAGGCTGCAGGGTGCTTGTGAGGGGTCCTCGGCCAGGGACTGGCTCTTGCCCCAAGGCTGCCGCCATTGAAGTATGTCTTTTGGACAAGACTTGGGGCCTTGGTTCCCCCTGGGCTTAGCCATTTTCCACGGATGATGTGATGGGAATGAAGTGGTGCCATGGGTATGTGTCTCTGGAAGAAGAAAGATCTATACCAGTGGTTGGAAAACTGTGGCTTGCGAGCCACATGCGGCTCTTTGGCCCCTTGAGTGTGGCTCTTCCACAAAATAACACGTGTGGGCGCGCATGTACAGTGCGATTGAAACTTCGTGGCCCATGCACAGAAGTCGGTATTTTGTGGAAGAGCTACACTCAAGGGGCCAAAGAGCCGCATGTGGCTAGCGAGGCGCAGTTTGCCCACCACTGATCTATACTAATAAGACCAGGACCTGCTATGTCCCTGAATCTTCATGAGGACTTTTGTAGTTTTATTTTATTTAGATCTCAAAGCCCTATGAGGCAGAGGGTGTCTCTCCATTTTGCAGGGGAAGAAATGGAGGCTCAAATGTTAAATGAAGTGCCTGAGGCCTGGGTGGCTGCAAGACTGTTCTTGATCCTAAGGCCTGACAGCCCCTCTCAGCCTCGTCTTTGATCTGGAAGATGTCATACATAGGCCTGGGAAACGGAGGCCCAGAGAGGGGAAGAGCTGAGACGGGGCCCGCAGTGGCAGGCCTGGGCCTGGACCCCAGGGCCCCGCTGCCCCAGTGTCCCCGCAGGCACCTCCCCCGGCCGTCGTCTGGCTCCAGGGCCAAGAATGCCCGCTTTGTGCCGCACAATCTCTGATGATATGAGGGCCTCCCTGCTCTGAAGGCCCCGATTGTCCCTGTGAGCATGGAGCTGGGCTGCCCACATCCCCGTCCCCACCCCTGCCCGCTATGGGGCCTTTTGTGCTCCGGGATCTCAGCACAACAGCCAAGCCGTTGATCCAGAAGGCCCGGGGTGACTGGGGGAGGGCGGCATGCCAGCGCTCTTGCTCTTCCCGGCGGGGCTTGCCCCAGTTCCAGCCAGGAGGTGGGCCCTTTCCTCCGGGCCAGAGCCCTGCTGCGATGAGGAGGGGCCACGTGGAACTCGAGAGACCTCATGCCCTGTCCTGGCTGGGCCCCTAACCAGCCTGCTCTGCAAACTGGGGAGAGTCAGGCCCCCTCTCTGGCCTCAGCTTCCTTATCTGTAACATAAGAGGTTGGATAGTAGAGAAGAATGGAGAGGTCTGGGGGGCAAAGGGAAGATTCAGCTCAGGCCTGTCTCTGGACAGTAGAAGGAACACCAGGTTGGGAACTGGGACAGCTGAGCGCCGGCCCCATGGCTGCTTTGGGGTTGTGCACCCCTAGCTGGGCCCCCTCTCAGGGCCTGGGTTGTTTGATCTGCAAAGGAAAAGGGGGTGAGTCCCTCCTGCTCAGACATGGCAGAGGGACTCAGGCGTCAGATGGGCATTAGAGGCGCAGCGAGGGTGTGTGGGCAGGGAGGTCGGGAGTGTTCAGGGTGGGAGTGAGGGGTGCTCCGTGCAGGCAGGGGTGGGGGCTTCCCAGGCACTTGGGCACCCTGTTCCAGTGGGAACTTCCGGGGAGTCTTGGGTTGGTCTCTGGGGTATGTGAGGTCCTCTTTTGTCATTTTTCTCTTTAAATAGACCATCGACTTTCTGAACGACAACATTCGAAGAGGAATCAAGAACTACTATGATGACCTGGACTTCAAAAACATCATGGACTTTGTTCAGAAGAAGGTGAGCCAGGCTTTTTGAGTCAGAGATGTGCCTCCCATGCGCTTTGCCCCCGGCTTGGGACCCTGCTCAAGAGGGTGAGGGTGAGGGGTGATGTGGCTTATCCATTCCCAAGCAGGTGGCTGACCAGCCAGGACGGGGCTGACCTTCTCAACCAGTCCTCTGCCCACGTGCCTTGCCCTACCTGTTCCATGGACCCTCCCCCTAAAAAAAAAGGAATCAGGTCGGAGTAGCTACAGGCCACCGTGCAGGGTCCCAGGGTGCCCCTCTCCAATGGGCAAAGACCCTCCTTCCTTGAGAGGAGAGTGAGTTGAGCTCTAAGCCACCCAGTTCAGAAGTCCCTTCTGCCGGCTCCTTCGGTGGCGGGAGCTCACTCCCGGCCAAGTCCAGGTCAGCCCCGGTGGGAACAGAACCCTTCCCTGATTCCAGCCCCGGCATCGGGAACAGAACAGGGCTTCTCCTGTTCCTCCATGACCCTTCTTGGACGGCGATGATGTCATTTTGAGATGCTGTCCCTCTCCCCCAAGGGTGGCCCAAGCCTGTGAGCGCATAGCAGCTGCAGGGCCGGCCCCTGTCCTGCTTGGCTTAGACACACCCATCTCACTTAGTCCTGACCCTCAGGCTCCTCATCTGCCTCGGGGGATCATGATGGCCCCCTCCTCTTGGCGGGGTTGCCTGGACTTGATTCAGAAGTGCTTAGAGCAGTGCCAGGCATGGGGCAAGACCTCAGTCAGCAGGTGTCAGCGTCCTCATGTTCTCCCGGGTGAGGGCAGGCAGGGCTGGAGGACTGTGCGCCTGCTCAGCCCTGACAGCACTTCCTGGACATGGCCTTGGGGGCTTCTGCTGGCCTGACCCCATGATAGCCCTCAGTGGGGACGGACCAGCATCTCAGTGCACCCAGGGTCCCCGCAGTGGCCACTCCCTTGGCTCAGGGCTTTCCTGTGGTCACAACAGGTGCAGCCTCTGGGAGGCCCTTCTCGGCCAGGGATGTGCCTGCCAGCTCTGGCTGGTGGGTGGAGCGCGATACTTTTATTGGACCCAGCCTTGAGCTGGTTGGGGATTTTATTTCTCCCAGGGTGGGTGGGGGTGTGACTCATGCTCATTGGGCACCACTTGGTGTCAGGCCCTATGCTGGGTGCATCGTGCATGGCCTCTCTTTGTAATCCTCAGCTCAGCTGTGCACAGCTGGGATTTCTCATCCAGCTTTGCAGATGAGGATCTGAGGCTCAGAGAGGCTGATCAGCTTGCCTGAAGTCACACAGCTGGGAGTGGTGGTGTGAAGATGTGAACTCGGGTCTGTCTGATTGCAAAGCAAATGCCCTTTGTGCTGTACCACAGAGAGGCACCTCCAGGTCCTAAAACCTAATAGCCTAACCGGCCCTGTGCAGACGGTGAAAGGTTGTGGGCTCACCAGGCCCTCTAACCATATCACTCCCCTGGTTAAGCCCTCCAGTGACTTCCCGTCACTCAGAAAGAATATGATCCCGGCTCCTACTGTTCTGCCTCACAAGGCTTTGTAAGTCTGGCCTGTGCTGCCCCCTCACCCTCACCCCTCCCACGCTCCTCGCTGTGCCCTGCACGCTGGCCTCCGCCTGCTGCTGAAATACAGCCGGCTCATTGCTGTGCAGGGTCTTTGCATGTGTTGACTTCTTCCTGTTGTTCATGGTTCAGATTAAATGTCATCTCAGTGGCCTTTCCTGACCTCTAACCTGACGCTGCCCCTCCCCCTCCTTCCCTGTGTGTCCACATTCCTGGTGCACAGCGCTGTGGCACTGACCTTTCCATGCCGTGCTTGCACTCGGACTCCCTCCACTGGAATGTGCCCCACGTGGTGGGCAGGGCCGCGTGCTTTGCTCACCCTGTCCCTGCGGTGCCCAGAACAGTGCCTGGACACACTGCACCCCGGAAGAGTAACTACTCTCCCAGGCATTGGCACCGCTCCAGGGGGAGATGCAGGGAGGAGCTCATCTCAGGGGAGAATGGCACCAGCCTTCTCATGGCTCAGTGCTGAGCCCAGGGCAGGACGGAGGCGGGTGCCTCTCTGCTAAGGGCAGGCAGGCAGGCAGCGCTGGGGCCACTGGTTGTGGTGGTTTCCATAGAATCCTAGTCTCTGGGACCCTGAAGGCCAACTTCCCTGGTCTGACACCGGCACTGGGACATGAAGATGGAATCCACTTGTCGAGGAAGGACTTGGCCTTCCCCTGCTTAGTCACCACCCTGGAATCCCACCAAGAGGCGTCTCAGCCTCGGCTCGCATGCCTCTCCAGTGACGGGGTGCTCTCCACCTCCGGGGCAGCCATGCTGCCTGGGGGGGGCTTCACCCTGACAGCACCCGGCTCAGGTGCTCCCTATCGCTCCTGAGACCAGGGCGAGCCACCTCATAAATTGCACCGTCCCCTGCCAGGACCCCCTCCTGCTGTCTGCCCACACCTCAGTGGTCACAGCAGCTCCCTCTCCTGCTTGCTTCCTCCCTCAGTTCAAGTGCTGTGGCGGCGAAGACTACCGAGATTGGAGCAAAAACCAGTACCACGACTGCAACGCCCCCGGCCCCCTGGCCTGCGGGGTGCCCTATACCTGCTGCTTCAGAAACACGGTACTCCCTGTTCCCCGGCCACCCCGCTGGTCGGGCACCTTCATCGTCTTTAGGACAGGGGTGGGTGGGTGGGATAGGCCGCAGGTGGGGGTCGTTGTTCGGGCTTCTTGGGCCTCAAGGGCTCCTGCAGGGGTGAAGCTGGGGGGGGGGGCTTCCCTCTCTAGGAGTGGGGAGTGGTAGTCCGCATCATTGCGCCTCACCTGTGCAGGCCTGTTCTAGGTGCTTTAGTTGTATTAACCCCCTTAGTCCTCTCAGCTACCCTGTGAGGTCGGCGCTATTGTTTTACCCACTGAACAGGAGAGGAAACTGAGGCAGCAGGAGGTTGGTGGGGCTGGGATGGCAGGCGGGCAGCCATCGTCAGAGCTGTGCTTTGGACTCCTGGACAAGCCAGGCGGGAGCAGGAGAGGACTCCGGCCAGGGCAGCTTAGCGGGGGCGGCCGGTTCTGCCTCCGCAGCTGGAGGGCCAGAGCAGGGCCGGCCTTGGGCGTCTCCAGGGCTTGAGGGCCTGGTGATCATCAGGAACAAGGCGCCTGGAAGGGGGGCTGGTGATGTAAATGCCAGCAGGGGCCTGCCAACCCCCTCACCCACTTAGCGACGTGGGAGGCGGCCCTGTGTAGTCACCGCTTACGAAGGACAGAGGCTTCGTCAATCTTCTGTGTTTGACTAATGTGTCCAAAAACTGCCTGGTTTCTGGGCTGGAACGAGGCAGAGAGCTTCGCGATTACTCATGCTCCGATAGTCATGGAAAATTTCTCTTCGGACGTCTCCATCATTCCGTGCCCACTGGCGGGTTCTGTAAACTGAGAGGCTGGTGGCGTGGGTGTGGCCTCGCCCAGGAGTCGGGGAGCCAGTGACAAGTGCACGAGCCCCGAGAAAGGCTGGGCCAGGAGGGAGGTGTGTTGGAAATGTTAGCTGCCATTTTAGGGGAGCTCTCTGGGCAGGGGGGTGCTGGGAGGGAGCCCAGTGTTTTGGGGGGGCCTGTGGGAAATGATCCTGAACTTCGTCACCCAGGGCAGAGGCACCTGAATGTCCAAGTTGGAATGAGGAAGCCCAATTTTAGTTCATTCATTCAACAAGTATTTATTGAGGACCACCTATTTGCCAGACGTGGTTCTGGGTTCTGGGGGTTAGTGCTCCGTGTGTTCTTAGGCAAACACACGGAGAACTCTCTGCCTGCATGTGGACAAAACAAATAATAAAGGAGGATGTTAGAAGGTGATAAATGCTAAGGATAAAAAGTAAAGTGGGGGCATGGAGGGCTGCCATTTTAGATACTGAGAAGGTGGGTTCTCCGTAAAACCCTGAAGGAAGTGAGGGAGTAAGCCATGCATCTCTGGGGGACGGGCATTCCTGGCAGAGAGACCAGCAAGTGCAAAGGCCCTGGGGTGGGAATGACCCGAGTTCGTTTGAGAAACAGCACAGAGATAGTTTGGCTGCAGCAGAGTGAGGTCTGGGGGCAGTGAGGATAGTAGTAGATGAAGCCAGAGAAGTTATGGGTGCCCCGAAGGCTACCGTCAGAACTTTGATGTTCCCCGGAGTGACAGGAAGTGACAGGCTTCAGTGGCTGAGTGGCAGCTCTGACTTGGGCTTTCCCAGGATCACCCTGGCTGCTGTGGGGACAGAGGTGGATGCAGGGAGCCGGGTGAGGGGCTAGTGCAGCCGTCTAGGCGTCACAGGTCAGGCTGTCTGGGCGGCAGGCTCTGAGGTTCGGGATAGTGAGCAGGAGGCTCAGAAGTGCTCTCAGGGTCAACACCTGTAAGGGAGCTGACAGGAGCAGAGCTGGGCGGAGGGGGAAGCTGAGCGACGATGCAGACCCAGTAGGAGCCTCAGCTGAATCCATGGGGCACGGAGGCCGAGGCTTCATACCCACCGTGACCAGGCATTGCAGTGGTCCTGTGTCCCACCTGGGAGGGACTGCTGGCTCTGCTCAGCAGAGAAACAGAACTAATAGGACATGTGCCTCTGTGTGTGTGTGTGTGTGTGTGTGTGTGAGACGTGTGCCTGTGTGTGTGTGTGTGTGTGTGTGTGTAATTGGCTCACGGAATCATGGAGGCAAGGGAGTCCTGAGAACTGCAGGTGAGTCAGCAAGCTGGAGACTCAGGAGAACCAGTGCTTCCTTCCAGTCTGAGTCCCAAGGCCTGAGAGCCAGGAGGGCTGCTGGCGTGGGCCCTCGCTGAAGGCTGGCAGGTGGAGACCCAGGGCGAGCTGGTGTTTCAGTTCAGATCTGAAGACAGTCTGGCTGGAAGCAAGCTCTATAAATCCACTCAGATGTGGAGGGGCGGGACCAGGGCATCTAGCTTTCTCTCACCTCATAGAAGGAGGAGATGGCACAGGCCCACAGGCATGATGGGAAGGGCCGCACCAGCCCTGGACTCACGCCTGCTGGGAAGGGCTTTGATGGGGTCCAGGGCCGAACACAGCTTTCCCAGCACCTAGATTGTCAGCATCTGGGAGTTCTTGAGAAGGACTCTCTTCCCAATAAGGAACGTGGGGGCACTTCCACTATGGGGGTGGCAGTCTGCAGGGGCGGGCAGTGGGTCAGAGGTCCCAGCCTTGCCCTCAGATAACCCAGCACTGGCCAGGGTCTTGGCTGTGGTCTGGGGTTTTCCTTCAGGAGCCGACCTCTGAGACAGGGCATCTGCGTGCCAGCAGAGCTGTGCCCCGGCAAGGCCGCAGTGGGGGAGTCTGGGTGGCACGCTTTTCTCTGGGTTCCTGGGCTGCCGCTGATGGAGGAGTGCTTCCCACCCAAGTGCCGAGGAACTAGCCTTCCCACCTTCCCTCCATGGGCATTTCTTAGAGGTGGGATGTGGAGATGCAGACTCCAGCCAGACTGCCTGGGTGGGATCTCAGCTGTCACCAGACCAGGCAGTGCAACTCCGCCTCGGCTCTTTCCTCCATAGAACGGGGGATAAGAGTGTCTTTGACAGCGCGCACCACGTCAGTGTTAGCTGACCCACCTTTCTGTTTCAGACGGCAGTCGTCAACACCATGTGTGGCTACAGAACGATCAACAAGGAGGTAATGTCTTCCAAGTCTCCAGGAAGGTGGCTCTTCCTGTCCTCTCCCCAGGGTGACTGCAGGGGCCCCTGGGGGTGGGCTCCTGGCTGCTGAGATTTTCCAGCGTCTCTGGCTGTGACCAGGAGCCAGGGACTGGCAGGGGTTTCTACCCCTCCTCAGACTTAGAGGGGCTCAGGGCGCCACGAGCCCCCTAGGCTGGGAGAGGCCGCCTGCCAGGGTTGGCCTGGGCCTGCTGTGGACTTGTCGGTGAGACACACTCATGTGCCCAGCGTGCCCAGCGCCAGCCTGCCTCTGCCCTCAGAGCACCCGTTTGCAGATGGCTCCTGCTGGTTCTCTCAGCCTGGGACCCAGGAGGCCCTGGAGGACTGAGCCCTCAGGATCCCTCCTGGGTCAGCTTCCTGAGCAGCTCCCTGGGCTGCGAGAGAGGCCGGGGCAGTGCTGAGAGGGAGCTGAACTGGATGCCCGAGACGCCTCTGAGCAGTGGTCCTCGCAGTGCGGCCCCAGGCCAGCAGCACGGCCCTGGGAGCTCATTGGAAACACACATGCTTGGGGTGGGCCCGGAAGGTGATTCGATCCACACGTAAGTGGTAGAGCCATAGACCCAATGGCCCTCCAGCCATCAGACCCAATGGCCGGTGTGTATACTAACCTCTTGGTAATGCCCTAGATATTATCCTGAAATGAAATCCACAGATAATATGACCTGTCACCTACCTACACACCTAATTTCAAAACAAGTAACCTGATCTAACTGAGATGGAAGGAGAAATGAAATAAAACAGCTTATAACCATATAACACGTTTCAACAAAGGGCTCAGGCACCAGGTCGATGCCCAGAAGACAGCGCAGTCAGGTGTCTGCACACAGGGGCGGCGGCTGTCATGTTGGCAACTTGCATTATTTTTAAAAAACAGGGTTTTTTAAAATGGTAAACAATTCTCGATAAAGTTCCACACAAAATAAATTATAATCGTCCCTTAATTTACATAGTCGCACCTCTGCAGAATTCAGTGTATGTAGTAAGACCACACTTTGGTTTTCATACGTGCCTGGAGTTAGGCTTTTGGCTCAGATAACTATGAGTGGGTTTGCACCCATATGAGTGCCTGCAGGACATAGCGAGCAGGCAGGCAGGGAAGTGGGTGAAGTAGGATGGCTCTGAGCTCTGAAGTCCCTCGGTCCCCAACCCCATTCGCTGTGACCGCCAGCAGCGCCACCACAGCACTCCCGTGCTCTCGCTCCCGTGCTCTCGAGGGAACACAACTGCCCCCTGAGACTCAGTGATCTGGAGCCACCTTCTCGCCTGCATATGTGCAACAGGTTCAGGGAGGCTGAGGGACTTGGCCAGACCTCGAATGGGTGGTCGTTGGGACCGGGGTGCTGCCCGGGGAGGCGCTCAGCCGGGCTCTTTCCCTGCAGCGCCTCAGCGTGCAGGACGTCATCTACGTGCGGGGCTGCACCAACGCCGTGCTCATCTGGTTCATGGACAACTACACCATCATGGCCGGCCTCCTGCTGGGCATCCTGCTCCCCCAGGTGGGCTGGGCCCCGCTCCACTCAGGGTGGGGAGCGGGAGGCAGGGTGGTGGGCGGGCTGTGGGCTCAATAAGGGTGGCAGGTGGTGGTTGCTGGGTGCAGAGGAGGTACAAAAGGGGCGGGTGAAGAAGGCTCTTGTACCGGCAAGCTGGGCTCACCTGGGAGGGCTGAGGGCTGGAAGGAGAGGGTGCATGGCAGTAGCATTGCTCATAAAGCTCTTCTGAGTGCTTCCCCGGCACTGCCTCCTCCTGTCCTGTGAGGTAGGTCCTATTTTCATACCCATTTTACAGAGGAGGGAACCGAGGCTCAGCAGGGTTAAGTGACTTGCCCAGGGTCCTCCAGGTTGTGAGTGGCATAGCTGGGGTGGGGACAGGAGTCCCAGGATGGAGGAACCTCTGCTGATGGGCACAGGGGAGGTCTCTGGGGTTTCCTGGGAGGGCCGAGGAGGGCCCAGGGTGGGGCTGCTGACAGTGGGGGTGCTGGGGAGAAGGCCGTGCCCTGGGGTTTCCAGGCCACCGGTGCCATGAGTGCTCCTGACTGGCTGCCTGGGTTTCTGGGAATGGGGCTGCCAGAGAGGGCTGGGCTGCCCGATCCCCAGCAGCCTCACCCGCCTGCCCTTCTTCTCAGTTCCTGGGGGTGCTGCTGACGTTCCTGTACATCACGCGGGTGGAAGACATCATCACGGAGTACTCGGTCACCGACGGGCTGCTGGGGCCTGGCGCCAAGCCCCGCATGGACGCCGCGAGCGCGGGATGCTGCATGTGCTACCCCAGTTAGGGCCGGCCTGGGCGTCAGCAGGACGGTGCCAGCACAGCCCTGCCTCATGGGCGCTGCACAGGACAGCGGTCCTCTCCCCGGGTGGCACTGAACAAAGCCTGGCTGTTTGCTCTGGTGGCCGGCTCGGGCTTCCCATGGCCACGGCCTCCCTGGAGGACGGAACCTGAGGCCTCCCCAGCTGCCGTCCGTGTCTGCTCGCTGCGGGGCACAGGGACCAGGGTGGCCTGGGCCGCGGGGAGGGGACGCTCCGCGCTCAGCTCAGGGCCCAGTCGTTTCTGGCAGTGCCTTGGCCTCGGATGTTTATGCCCCTCTGGGGGCGGTTTTCCGTGGTTTGTAAACGGGAGAGAGGAGAGCAGGTGCGCCCCGCGGTGCAGGCGGGGAGGTGCACACCCCAGGCCCCGACCCTCGGCCATGCCCCAGGGCAGGTGGGCCTGTTCCTCAGCCCCCAGGTGCCTTGAGCCCTCCCCAGGGCTGCTGCTTTGCTTGGTCCTGTTTTTTACGTGATTTTGTAACGCTCATTTTGTACACAGTTAACAGGAGTTTCTGACTAATCACAGCTGGGTGTGTCCCACACACTCCACTCTTTTCCCTCTAAGCCGGTTTATTAATCAAACAATAAAGACTTGATTTTTTTGTGTGTCTTTCATTTGTGCTGCTGGGTGGGTGGGGAGGGGTGAGGAAGGCCTGAACGTGGACTCGGCAGCCCCGTGTTGGTGCAGGACTGAAGGGGTCCACCCCGGGGCCCAGATTTGGGACAGTTGGGACACCGAGGCCGGGAGACTCCGCAGCTGGCCCGAGGCTGCCCGCGCCCGGTCGGGAAGGGCCTCTCCCGTTCTTTGTTCTTCTTCGGTGTTGCCGCTTAAGGAAATGGCTTTTCCCAGCTGGGCCTGTGGGCTGGGCCTGCAGCCTGCCTTTCCTGCTAGGAATTCGCTGGTGGGAACCCTCCGGGAGGAGACAGATGGCTGCCTCCTTTACAGACTGGGAAGCTGAGGCCAAGCCACCTATGGCATGAGGCGCCTCCTCTGGGAAGGGGCGGAAGGGGACTAGGAAAGCCTTGGGTCTGGGAAGGAGCAGTGCCCACAGCCCACGGTGGCTTCAGCACCAGAGTGACTGTCCCTCCTTCAGGAAGCCGTGCACTTGTTCCCAGGGACGGGGGCGGGGCGAAGGCCGTGGGATGCCAAGCACAGCCTGGTGCTGACTGCCCCCTGCTGGAGACAGCAGGCCCTACATGGATCCGTCCACCCATGCCTTCCTGCAGCTCCACGACTTGGACTCTAGATTCTCTATGGCAGCGGTTCTCAACCTGTGGGTCGCGACCCCTTTGGGGGGTCGAATGACCCTTTCACAGGGGTCGCCGAAGACCATCGGAAAACACATATATAAACACATACATATTGTTTTTGTGGTTAATTACGTTCAATTTGTAACAGTGAAATTGGGGGTCACCACAACTTGAGGAACTGTATTAAAGGGTCGCGGCATTAGGAAGGTTGAGAACCACTGCTCTATGGGGTTCTTAGGAGCCAGGACAATAGAATAAAACAGCAAGAGCCCCAAACCTGATGTACTTAATCTAGGGGTGTTAAGGGGCATGTCCATCACACCCAGGATTAAGTGGTGGGATGCTTGGTCGGCTACGAGTACAAGCCTAACTTGCCATGTGTAGGTTCAAAAGGACAGAGTGCACCCATAGCAAACATCAGCGAGCGTACTTGTGTCTAGACTTGTACGTGTCTAAAAATCTTACAGATATCAATTCCTTTAATGTTCACAGCTGTCTGTGGTAATTCTTGTCATCTTCATTTTATTGAAGGAGAAACTGAGGCACAGAGTAGCTGAGTAACTGGCCCGAGGTGCATGGCTGGTGACGGACAAAGCCATGACATGACCCAGGTAGAATCCCCCAGGACACTCAGCCCCCTGCTGTGCTGCCTGTTGCCTCGTGTGGACACATGGTAGGAGGTGTGCAAACCAGGCACAGCGCAGCCACCGCTGCAGCCTCTGCTGGTCCCCATCTTGACCTCTGGACACAAGGCCAGCCCCAACTGTGCCTGGCTGGGGTTCTCCTGGCTCCGGGCTCTGGCTGTTCTCTGAGGATGCGCGCCATGCTCAGAGCGGCCTTTGGGGCAGCAAGGGGCGGAGACACTGGGTGTTCCTGTCCACAGCCACTTTACCCCGGAACCTGGGCGACTGGTCGCCTTGTCCTCCTCTTTCCAGCACCACCCGCAGGCGCCCCTTCTCTCGCTGCTGCTCACGGGGACCAGGGACCATGGCTGGTGCCCGCAGAGGACTTCGCTCAGTGGGCACTTTTATTTCCGTCCAGTGCTCAGCCACTCCCCTCTCCAGAAAGCAACGCGGAGCACGTGGCGAGGACGTCTTAGTCCTGTGGTTGGGATGCATCTCCTTTTGTGCGGAAAAGCCAGTGACATCCCCTGGGCCCGTTGCCTCGCAGGCATGGAGGAATGGCCCTCAGAACGAGTCCTTTTCCCACACCAGGGCACACAGAAAGTGACGGTATGCGTGCAGGCCTCGATGTTTGTGAAACAGGATCTGTGGGCTTTGATTTTGGACATGCTTGCTATATAATTACAAAACACACACACACAAAAACCAGAACCATAAAATGCATTAAGGAAGACTGGCTTTGTATAAAAATCCCAAATACAGTATTCCCCAAACTTGGTTTTTAACAGCTTATTGAGGTATGTTTAACATAAACTGCACATATTTAAAGTGACAAATATATTTAAAAAATAAAATGACAAATATACCATCAATGAAACCACCACCACAATTAAGATAATGAACATAACCATCACCCTGAACGTTTTCCTCTTATCCTTTAGTAATCCCTTCTTTATAGCCCTCCCCACCATCCCATTCTAAGGAAACCACGGGCCTGCTTCCCGTCCCTTTAAATTACTTTGTATTTTCTATAATTGTACATAAGTGAACGTATGCAGCAGGTACTCTCCACTTGTCTGTTCCTTCATTTAACAGAAGTATTCTGAGATTCATTTATTTTGTAGCATATATTAGTAGTCCATTCCTTTTTATTTCTTGGTTGTATTCTTTTAAAAAAAATATTTCTTTATTGATTTCAGAGAGGAATGGAGGAGAAAGAGATAGA